CGGTGCTAACCTACTGTTCAGACGAACTCAAAGCTGGCTAAGAAGGTCAAGACTTCCCTCGATTCCAACTATTCTTACCTGGGAGGCAATGCTTTTGGGCGAGATAAGCGTGGAAAAATCACTAAAGACGATGCAACCCTGTCGTCTGAGATGGCAGCAGCTGGATTGGGCGGAGGCGAGGGTCACGAGTACACAGCGTATGTGTACTACGAATTCGACTTTCCTTAGGCTTAGCAAGTGAAAACGGAGTAATGCACCAACGAGGGCTCTAATATCCATACGTCTATGTATCCACAAAACACCCGACGCACGTGGGGAAAGCGGCAAAGACCGAATAAGAGCTCTGACTGCCACGAGTTGACGGTTTCTGTAGTCACGCAACTAGATGAGAAACCGCAACGCCGTCACAGGCAAGAACGTGGACTTTAAGCTGCTTTGGTGGATGAAATGAGGCCCTCCTTGATCAACCACTCGGCAATCTGCGCGACGCACTCCTCCACGCTCGACTTGTCGGTCCTGATGCGGATTTCGGGGTTTTCAGGCTCTTCATACGGCGCAGAGATGCCAGTGAAGTCCTTGATCTCGCCTGCTCTGGCCTTCTTGTAAAGCCCCTTAGGATCACGTTGCTCTGCCACCTCGATTGGGACGTCGACGAAGATTTCGATGAAAGGGATAGCGTCGTCGTCGCTTTGGCTCGCTTGGGTGTGCAGCTCGCGGGCAACCTGACGGTCTGCTCGGTACGGAGAAATGAAGGAAGTGATGGCGATTGTCGAGGAGTCAGCGAACAGCTTAGCAACCTATTGGAGAGCATCAGGTAAGCAAAAAACATGGCATTGAATTGGTGGCGTGCGTAGAAAGAGGGGAGAGCAATGTACCTCTGCGATACGACGAATGTTCTCGTTCCGGTCCTTCTCAGAAAATCCCAGATCTTTGTTGAGGCCAAAACGAACGTTGTCGCCATCCAAACGGTAGGCAGCAAGGCCCAGGTGCAGGAGATGTTGCTCCAAAGCGGTCGCCACGGTCGACTTGCCCGAGGCAGAGAGGCCAGTCAGCCAAATGGTGAAGCCACGCTGGCGACGCAGCTGGTTACGCTCATGGCGGGAAAGCGACGGGTGCCATGTAATGTTCCTACAAGATCAACACATTTCGATCAGTCAAGGCGCTGCGCACTGGATAGATGTGAAGCGGATGGAGGAAGTCACGAAGCCAGGGCCAGGGCGACACAGTGGAAGAGCCCGGCCAGGTAGTTAGAGGATGCGCGCAAACTCCAAGGAGGGGTAATAATCAAGCGTGGAGTTTGTACTCACGTAGCCATTGTGGAAGTCAGTACGACGAACCAATAGACAGAGGTCCAGTAGAGGTCGGGGGGGTGGAAGAGAGTGGAAGGATGACCAAAGAGTTTACAGTTACAAGATGCGCGCAGAATGTTTCAGCCCTGACCAAGGGACGGCAGGTCAGGAGTTTTATACCGAAGTCATGGAAGCTACTCTGTAAGTGACGGCTCACTAAGGTACAATATTAGTGTAGGTGCCGTCCAAGTCATCCAAGGTAAGGAATGTCTTCTGCTCTGGTCCCCTCGCCCCCGCTTGCACAACAAAACGCGGCCCATCTGACGTGGAGCACGCCGGCACCGGCTCACACAGTTTTCAAGGCTTTTCAGGGCAATGAGCATTTGTTGTGGGAATTTAGCTGGAGTTTGTAACCAGCTCTGGAGGGGTGGAGGGGCAGTGCACCTGGTCTCGGGTGAAGCTTTGGTGTGTAATGGACTATTAATTGGGCCAGCATGGCGGGGGGGAGGGGGGAACCAAAGAGGGAAAAAGAGAATTCATCGTGTAGAAAGTCGGAAGCGATGGCGTCAGATCGGCTAAAGGTGGATCATACCTTGGCAGGCCATCTAAGTACGTATTTCTGCAACGCAGCACACTCCGGTTGTGGTCTACAGGCAACTCCGAGCCCCGGCACCGCAATCGACCGACTGCCGACCCGGACCGGATGCTGTTCGACCCTCCCGCCAGGTATGAAGGGATTGGCCCTCTCCTCCTTCTTGCGCAATGTTAGTGGGGACTTTTCTTCACGAATATGCCACTTTTCATATTTGCCTGGCCGGTACCTCTAACTGTCATTCACCATTCATCTGGAATGGTGGGCTGCGCAATCAGTGAAGCCCACCCCTCGCGAATTTTTCTAGGCGCATGATAGACTGGTACTCAACACGCCTTTCTGAGCCAGGCTGCCAGGGCTTCTTGCGTGCGGACCTTGTCGCCCAAACGGTCCAGTCGTGAGGCAATTCAGAGGATTTTTTAAAGGGGAAAAAAAAAGGAGAAAAAAGAACACCATGGTTCATACTCAAGATGTTGCGTTGAGCTTGGCCATGACCTGCGAAGAATGTTAGCGTGGGAAAGGCCGATGTCGTTCAACGGGGCGGCACACAACATACCGATGCAAATCTAGGTGAAACAAAGAGTGCTGTTGCTTGTGCCAAGACAACGGGCTCTTGTCCTTCATCAACCAACGTTTCCAGTTGACCCTCGACCCAAGCCTTCCGCCCTTCAACTCTCACTGTCTGCGCCCTTAGCACCACGTATGTCCCGGCGTGAACCGGCCTTCTGTAGTTGATTTCGAGCTTTGCGGTGACGCCCACATTATGTGGAAGTGCCCCAAAACAGCAGCGTGCTAGACCTTCGTCAAGCATGGTCGCCAGAAGACCTCCGTGCACGATACCAGGGTGGCCGCACATATCTGTTCCAAGATGAGATATAGAGACAAGTGCTTTTCCACCGTTCCTGGTCCAGCATATCGGAGGCACCGTGATGCGCCCGGGGCCAAGGAGTGTACCGCCAGTAAGATTATGACGTCTTAACCCATCGGGCAGCCTCATATGTGGCCGAGATTCAACCATGTCCGCGTCCCTGCGCATCGTTGCCGCAAGAGGGTGGTTGTTGATATAATCATCCACTGCCTTGGCCTCTGCGTCTTCTGGAACGTAAAGACGCAAGCTGTCTTCGTCGGACCGGTGTTTTGTCGCATCCAACAGACTGGGCGCAAGTGGGCTAGCTGCGGCTATAAAGCCGAGACTTGCAAACAACAGTCCATATGCGCCGAATGCGATTGCCCTGCGAAGGCGGGAGGGAGGTGATGCCGGTGGCGCGATGGGAGCTGCGAGAAACAGGGTAAGCTTGAATCATCCAGGCATTGAGACCTCGCGCAAACACTCACGTGCGCCGACACCAGGGTGGTATCGTCGAAGAAGTATACGACAAGCTGCCGGGGAGAACAGCGCGTTCGAGATGCTTCTTCCTGCACGGCTTGCAGGCAGCGCTATCATCCGCCTCAGCGGAGCGAACGGCGTCGCTGTCATATATGCGACCAATCTGTCCGTCAAGGGCGTGCGTTGTCGGCAGGAGGGATATGGTAGGAGGGCAAAAGTGTCTTATTCGAAAGGCAATTGTTGTTGCAGGGTCAAATTAAGGCAGCGCAGGGAAACTGGTGTAAGACAACCGAGGCACCTTGCCTCGCGGAAGCTTTCTATGCAATAGCTGATGTGGAAGAACAAGGTAAGATAAGACTAGGTGCCTGGCTTGATGAAACCAATCATACGTGGTCAAGCCCCATATTTTCCACCTCAATATCCAGACTGACTGTCGCACGGGTAGCAATTCCCACTTCGTACTGCCTGGAACGTCTCGTTCGCGAAACGTTGCCAAGTATAGGTGTGAACAGTGATAGTCGTGCTTCCCAATGCGGGCGTCCAATCATGTTGATGATCAGTTTTCACTGCCACTGGCTTGATTACGTCAACTGCTGGTGGTGTTCCCTTGTCCTGTGTATCCCGCCTCTGCCATGCCTGGGTTCAAGAACTGAGCAAGTAGTCACCCATGCCAATGACATCAACCCCTCCCCCATATGTCCTACCAGCGTCTGAAACTGTACAAGTTGCGGTCGGGGCACGGAAATAATGGGACCCTGTGCATACAAACACCCATCCGGTCTGCGCTCCCGCTTCGTCCGTCCCATCACATCGCTGCTCAGTGGATGACGGACAGGTGCAGATTCCCCTGGGAGATCAGATGGCATATAAATTGGCTGCTGAGACGACATTAAACATCACAAACTTTACCTCCATTGCTACCCCTCCTGATCGATCCATCAAAGCAGGAACATTGCAACCTTTGACTTATCCGCCACTTTTTGTGCAATCATCTCGAGGAGATTCATCACATCCCCTAACATGGTACGTTCTGATGTAATACTCGATGGAGTGCTGTTCTCGTTCATCTTCCCTGACCCGTAATACTGCCGTCGCATCAAGGCTACGGCTGAAACAGTAGACTTGGGCCCCGTCCATGAGCCTAAAGAGGAGTCAATCAAAGTCTTCAAGGACATCGAGCACGAGCTCAAGAAGGAGCTCCTGCATACCCGCCGCGAATATCAGAGTAAGAACCCTGCCTTCGTCGGAAGGAATCTACAAGTTCACCAACTGATGCCCAACCCCGTACCAGAGCACGAACGCGAGTATTTCCAGGCTGTTGTAAGTACCCTTGGTGGTAGATGAATCTTAAGTCCATCCTGGCTCACACGCTCGAATATAGGAGGAGCTGGACGACGACCAACTGGCTGGTTTCAGCTCAAGGGACCTCGTCGCTGTCAGAGTCGCTGTCTCAGCCTACGGCGTTCACCTCTTCGGCAAGATTCGTATCCCAGCCATGTCCGACTCAGGACCTGCATACATCCACTTCAGAGCCTTTGATGTGCCTGGAGGCGACGAGCCGGCTAAGCTACACAGCATCCACACAGAGGAAAAGGAGCATTCTGACGGTGACAAGACCTATCGCGCTATCTTCACCAAGAATGACCCACTGGAATGGTTTGACACATAATGGGGCAAAATAGCACAGAGCAATGGCCCGGACACAAGGCATGGGAAGCCTCGCTAGAATACCGAATCCTAATTCACCGTTGATCCCTTCCTCTAATGGCGTTGGCAAGTCCACTCTCCCAGCCTAATCATCATCTTGAGCCAAAAGATCGGCGTAGTCCTCTGCCGAAGCAAACATGGGCAAGTCCTTGAGTTTCCTCCTCGACGATCGGCCACCCTTCTTCGGCTTCTCATCCTCCGCTGGCTCCTCAGTCGGAGGTGCAGGAGACCCAACAATTCCCTCGTCATCACTGTTATCCATCTCCTCAGCCCCGTCGTCCTCCAAACCAAGTGTGTCGTCTTCAACATCTCCGTCCGAGTCGTTAATGTCGGAGCCATCGGAAAACACAACTCCGCCGTCAGAGGAACCGTCGCTGTCGTCAAAACCGTCCATGTCAAGGTCGGATTCATCGCTGTCGATGGGTCCATCAGGATGCGTAGCTGTAAGGGCCTTCCAAATCTCGTCCTCTTGCTCGCCCTCGTCCTCCTGGTCACCAGACGCGACGGCTGAAACCGTAGCCGCCTTCTTCCCCGTCTCGGTTTTCTTGCCAGCCTGCTTGAAGTACTCGTGGAAGAAAATGTCCTCCACGGCAACATTTTCAGCTTTTCTGTTCCAGAAGCTCGGCGAGTTGATCGATGCTCCAGCAGCTGCACCGGCCCTCTTGGCAAGCCAAATGCTACCTGGGTCTGGGTTGCGGACTGGCTGCATAATGGATGCGCCCCTGCTCGTCTCAGCGACCTTGGGGTTGCGATAGACGAACTTGTCGAGAAATCTGATCAGACTATGACTCTCCAGATCCGGTTTAGCCATTTGCTTCTCATCAGAAAACAAACTGCCGGCCAGCATTGACACGGACGGATGAAAGTGGGTTAAAGAGGGGACCTAGATATAACAGCATAAGCGACTTGTAATCAAGATGACGAGACGATAGTGCTCACAATTTCCCACAGACAGCTGTTTTGAGCATTGCTGTGTTCTGGATTCCTCTTTCGGCCATCGTATGTTGATCCCCGAGAAGTGAGGTCGTTCTTGTTTTGCTCCGTGAATTCAGCAACTGTTCCTTCGGCATCGTTATCTTCGGGCTCCTCAAGAAGAGCCCTAAGTTCAGGAAATTGGACCCGTAGCTGAAACACGACATATAGGAGTCCGCAAGCGAACGCAGCTTGGTGCAAGTTCAAAATTTGGAGCATTCTCTTTGCGAAAGCCTTGATACGGCGCGTATCGACGTCAGCCTTCAACGACCTTAATAGCAAATTTAGATAGAGGGCCTGCTTCGAAGATATCGCCAGACGGGGGTCCAGCAAAGATTCGTACAAGGTCCTGTAGAACCTGTCCGAGGCTAGATGCCTCGTGACTGAAAGCTGCTGGATGAGAATGAGTGCCTGGATGCTGGTGTTGAAATTCGTGGAATGTGCAATACGGAAGAGCGTGTCCACTTGCGTTTCCAGACTAGAGCAGGACGAGTAAGTTCCTTGTCGAGTCAGGGAAGGAGATGAAGCAATTGAGGAGCACATACATGGGATTCTGGGCTGCCACGAAGGGAACTGCGCGGTTAATACCTGTCAAAACCGCAGTGACCAGCTTATCGGCTGTCTGACGCTCTGCTGCTGCGGCTCCTTCTGTACCGGCTGGGGCAGACCTCTCCTTCTCCTCATCCCCGAGCGCTCTGCCCAAAACAGAACTGTTCAGAAGGGTCACGAAAATATCGAAGTAGATGCGGAGAAGGGCCTCTGCTGTACCAACCTCGCGACTGCTGAGGATGGTCTGGTTGAGAGTGTTCACCGCGTGATACTTGGCTCTGAAGGTCTGGCCAGGGCGCAGCAAAACCTCCTGCTCGACAGCGTTGATAATGATCTGTCTCATGCCAGGGTGAGTGTTCTGGAGCTGAAGCAACAGGTATGAGACTCTTGAGGCAATCTTCCGGTCTTTGTCGCCGAGCTTGTTGACCAGCAGCCTCAATAGGTTTGTTTCTTGCTCAGGCTTATCCTTGAGCAGTCCATACACAAAGTCGAGGGAACGGGTTCGGGAGTACTCGATTTCGTCGTTGCACCACACCTCTAGCAGCTGAATGACTTTGAAGTAAGAGGACTTGAGCCAGTCCTCGTAAGCGTATTGGATAAGGTGTGGCTCGGTAAGACGTCCAGGTAAAGGCTGTCCTGAGCTCCACGAGCTGACTGCAGACTTCTGTAATGTGCCCAACAACCCAGGTTGCGACTGGAAAGTTCGCAGTCTTCTGTTTGGAGGTAAGATGAGACCGGGACCTAGGAGATCGACCAAAGCACCCAAGGCTCCAATTGCCTGAGCGCGACTTCGTTTGGAGGCAAGGCCAAGAAGGGACTCAAACGCTTTAACGTTGTGCAAGGGAGATTCTTGTATTGCCAGCGTGAGCGCTGATACCTTGTCAGACAAGGTACCAGACGACATGATTGTAGAAAGGAACTTGTGGGAGGAGGACGCCAAGACACTCTTGCCGTAGACGGATGCATCAGCTTCTAGAAGAGCAAGAGCATGGTTCTTGAGCGCATTGATGGCACCGAGGTACCCATCCAGCTCTGTTGTTATGGGCTCTGGAAGCTTGCCTAACGCAGCGCCGTGCCAGTCCGCACGAGGCTCGAATTTCTGCGAGCAGACGGGTCAGTACAATCACGGTACGGCGATGACAAGGATTTTGCTCACGAACTGCTTCTTGGACACATTGTTTGCCTCCTTGCGATGCTCTTCGAAGGTCTCTTCCTGATGATTATCTGCTTCGGAGCCAGTCGTCTCTGCCTCAGAGTCCTGGCCACCATTTTCAGATCCACTGACGGATTCGACGTTGTCGTCGCTGCCACCGCCTTCGTCAGATCCGCCGATGGTCTCTTGTTCATGATATTGCTGGAGTCCCAGCTGAGCAGCAAAGGCAGCCAACTCGCCCTGAAGCTTGCTGTCGACAGCAATGCTATAATCCTCGGCCCCGTTGGTATCTTCTTGGTCTGAATCCACATCGCCAATCAACTGAAGGTCCTCCTCGTCGCCGCCCAAAGCTCGAATCTCCTCTAGCAGGGCTTCGCGAGATAGGGAATCGCTCTTGCTGGTCTTCGAATTGGTGGACACTGCCCTTCGAGGTTCCTGGCTTCCCGGAGAAAGTTTCTTTCGTTGTCGAGGACTCGCGGAGGGCCAATCTGAGGCGTGTTTGCGCTTCTTGTTAGTGGTGTTGTTGCCATCTTTTGGCTTCGTTCCCAAATTCTTATCGATCTTGGCTGTAAGCGCTGTAAGCGACTGCTCGTTCAATCGCGTCTGCTGTGAAATGCTGCTAGCGGAATGACGTTTAGGCTTCGCCATGGCTGAAGATCGTCTTGTAGGTTGACGAAAATAGAGCTCTGGCGCAACTCTCGATTCTCCCGAGTGTGAACAGAATGAGGAAGTTTTGCGCCGGGAAAATCCAGCCTCTGCAGCAGCTCTGGAGGGCAAAAAAAAAATTCCACTAGCTAGGTACGGAAGTGGGGTTGCTTGTGAATTCTATCTCCACACTAACCGCACTAAGGTAGTCTGTGCATGGGAAAGACGTGTTCACGCCCCTGCAGGACGGCTGGTAGAGGGCACATGCGGCTCGTGGTCGTTTTTCCCAATCTCTGAAAAGATTATTAGATGGGCTAGGACCATTTCTCGACTGCGACCTGTGGCTCATGACCCGACGCTTCACTACATCTTTTGCTCAATGGCCACCTACTTGGGCTAATTCGTATATTCTTCACGTCTATGACACTGGTGCATGCCCTCAAGTTTCTGTTCGGTCGAGTTGCCACCCAAGTTCATCTAGGGGTCGCTTGCAAACCCGCTTTGCGCGACTTGAACGCCATTTCGCCTGCCGCACTCGCTGTTATCCGATCGCCTGCTCTGGTAATGCCATTTGCTTTAGCTAGGCAACTGCAGCGCCAAAACTAGAGACTCGTTGGTCCATTCACCACCAACTGATACAAGCTACCCCTCAATGCCCACAGACATAACTCTGCATAAGCTGGGTTGGTAGTCGTGGGACGCCAGCTGCTAGAAAGCTCACGTTCTGTCGGAACGATGTTCGCCTTTGCCCGAAGACTGACGCCTCCGTCAAAAACCCGCACGCTATGTTACAGCAGACTTCACCTACAATCTTGGCCAGGGTCTCGGGTAAGAATCGCACGCAAGATGCAGGATTACTCATATTCAGGAAGGGCAGATACTAACATTCTCAAGCCATGTTTTCGACACTATCATAGCGAGCCTGCTCGGCATCGACTTTCCGCAGTATGGACCCCTACTGGAGGCATTACTGCTGGGAAAGATGAAGGTAAACAATGTCTTGCTGCTTCCACCTGCAGGCGACTGGCTAAGCCGGGAACAGGTGCTCACGACAAGCTCGTTCGTGCAGGGTTTCTCAGGCAGGTAGGTTCGGCCAACACCATTCGAATGCCTTCATCTGAGTGCTTCCTAACATGCTTTGACAGTCTCACTTGGGAGTTTTCCACCTCCTGCCCCTCGGCAGGCGTGTTCAAATGAAACTCGAGGGTCTGATCGATCATTACATGCAAAATTTGGGTAAAGCCTCCAGAGTCTCGAAAGTGGCATAGTGTTGATCTTAGTACTCAGGGGCCTCCAGAGTGTCTCTATCAACCATAACGTCCAAGGAGCTCTGGCACAGAAGTGGTCGCCTAGCCCAGCTAGAATCAGAGGTCCGTTTCCGCAGGGTTTGCTGGTGACGACATAACTGAAAACCCTACAGCTTTTCGCATTCGAGGATCGCAAAGGGGCCCAGTATATGCTGTCACCCACACATGAGGAAGAAATCACTTCCCTAGTAGCGAAGACTGTCAGGTCTTACAAGGAGTTGCCCCTTCGCCTATATCAGATCAGTGAGTTGGTCTGCCTGCAGGCCTGATGTGCCGCGAATCTGCAGAGACTAACAGAGTATCCAAAGCTCGCAAGTTTCGTGATGAGTTGCGGCCACGGCATGGCCTTCTTAGATCCCGCGAGTTTACCATGAAGGACCTGTATACTTTTGACGTCTCATCTGAAGCGGCGTTGGAGACGTATCACAAAGTCCAAGCTGCTTATAAGGGTGTCTTTGAAGCCTTGAAGCTGCCAGTGATGGTGGCCAAGGCCAGCTCTGGCGATATGGGAGGCGATCTCAGCCACGAATACCATCTTCCGGCCCTTGTTGGGGAGGACACAGTCATTATTTGTGGTTCTTGCGATTACGCTGCTAATACCGAGGTGGCAGAAACTCGCAAGGACGTTACGAAGCTGAATGGTCACCCCACGGTCGAAAACACCAAAGTGTCCGCTGTGAGAGTATGGCGAGGGATCAGCAAGGACCGCTCGACCCTGGTCAATGTATGGTACCCGGCACAAATTTCAGGGGAGACGAAAATGGAGGAAACAAAAGACGTTGACGTAAGCATACCTGCCGTGAAATCCATTATTCCCGGCTTGGACGCAAGCGTCGATGACGCCCTGCGTCTCTGGCCCCGTGCTGTCGAATGTCAGCATACAACTGGGCAAGCCGCCGCAAAGTCGCCGAGGCTAGTAAACCTGATCGACTTCAGACTGGCGGCACAGGCTGAGGAGTTGCTACTTCAAGAGGCAAGGTTGTGGCCTTTACCACGATGGGAGACGGCAAAGTCAAAGTTGGATGCTATCACGATCATGGAGGACCGGAGCGGTCAGGGCCTGAATCTCCTGACGGTTCGTGCAGGGGACAGGTGTCCAAGCTGCGAGAGCGGTATTCTGAGAGTACAGAAGGCCCTGGAAGTCGGGCACACGTTCCATCTAGGGACGAGATACTCGCAGCCTCTCGGGGCGACGGTTTCCGTGCCGATGGGCACAGCGGCCACAAACGGCACAAGTCAACCCTTGGCTACCGAAAAGACGGTTCCGATGCAGATGGGGTGTCACGGGATTGGAGTGTCTCGTCTTATCGGTGCAATGGTTGAGCATTTGGCAGACGAAAGGGGGCTACAGTGGCCGAGGGTTGTCGCTCCCTACGAGGTCGTTGTGATATCATCAACAGACTTAGCCGAGGAGGCTGGAAATGTCTACAATGAACTAACGATGCCCAGAACCGGAATGTTGGGACCAGAGGCAGTATTGGATGACCGCGCCTTATCATTGTCATGGAAGCTCAAGGATGCAGATTTGGTGGGATACCCCGTCGTGGTGGTCCTCGGTAAAGCGTGGAAGCAGAATGAGGGCTGCGAAGTGCAGTGTAGGAGACTGGGCGTCAGAGAAACGGTGCCGCTGTCAGGGGTCCGTCGACGGGTAACAGAGTTGTTGGAGAAGCTGTAACAGCAACGACGCATGTCGAGTGAGTCTGGCGAGCACGTCCCACAAATAGGGTGTTGTAACAGTCGGCTATACAGTAATCAAGTCATCTCCTACACAGTGGATGCAGTCTGGCCGTCTTTTTAACGCTATATCTGGCCAAAATGGAAAAGGGTTTCCAGAGGCCTGGCTGGCAGCGGTGCTTTCGCTCATCGCTAAATATCACGTGACCTGGCGGTCGGCCTTACTAACCAGCACAACACCGAGTACGTATCTCAGACTTTGAGCCCTCGCCAGGCGAATAGAGTCGAAATCAACCGTCACTTCCACTCCATTCATTCCCTGTTCCTGTCCGCCGCAACGCTGGCAAGGCTGACTTTGATTCTATCCCCAATATCACGGCAATAGTCAAGCTTATCCGACATGGCCGCCCAAGGTTCTGAGACGAGTGAGTCATAGGTGTATGTATGCCACGTCAGAGGTCTTTCACTGATTTAATACGGAAGTCAACCTCGAGACACTGGACGTGCAGCAACTAAGCCAGGTCAAAAAACAGTTGGAGGAGGAGTTGGAGCACTTGACCTCATCGTTTGCCCAGCTGCATAGCGCTCAGGCTAAGTTCAGAGAGTGCCTACGTTGTGTTAAAGCTCGTCCTGGTTCCGAAGAGGGTTAGCGATTTCTCTCTCTCTCACCCAGTTCCCTCAGTTTCAGAGGCCATGAATGCTGATAACATCCCCAGCTGAGAGGTCGGTACTTGTTCCCCTCACAAACTCGCTTTACGTGCGCGGTGAGCTGTCCGACCCCAAGCACGTAATTGTCGACGTTGGCACAGGGTTCTATGTGGAGAAGGTTGGTGCATTTCCTGACACGCTGCGAAGGCGCAGCCAAGCCTGCTAACACTGCGAAAACTGAAGGATACCGAGTCGGCCGAACGCTTCTACGATGCCAAGGTCCAACAGCTACAGAGCAACATACAGGATCTGGAAATCATTGTCCAGCGTAAAACATCAAATGTCCGAAGTGTTGAGGATGGTAAGTATTCTCTAACTCGTCAGGGAGGACATGCACTAGGTACTCACACCAGCCAAATAGTTCTGAGACAAAAGGTAGTTCAGAGTCAGGCAGCGTAGGAGGGAGGGCGAAAGAGAAGAACGGGATTGATCAAATAAGTGATCAAAACGAGAAAATGATGGCAACAGCTCAGCTTGTCAGTTAAGATCAGGTTTCGATATCTCACAAAGACGCATAGAGCAACAGTCAGTGTGGCAGATGTAGGCTTGCTACACAGTTAAGTACTATCAATAGTGACGTTGACAGCGGCTATTTCCGGTAATTGATGATGTTGCAGATTGTCACTACTTCCTCGGTTGACAGTGACGGGACACCCGGAAGAAGGCTAAGTATTCGCCGAGAAGCGGCTGATTGGGAAGGCACCGTGTCAAAGACTGTTCCGTGCCTTCGTTCGCACTGTAGAGTGACCAGGATGTCTTGCCCTTTTGCCAGTATGTAGCCTGTTAGCTTCTGGCGAACGCTACGGTCACTGGACGCTCTGCTCTGCTGCTGCAGTTGCTACTACCAGGATTCTCCTGTCACTACCACCTGGGAGAGAGCTTCTAGCAATATTCGAAAACGCCGCGCTTGTGGTTATCTCGTAGCAGGTTTTTCTCGTTCCAAGTTCTTTCGTTTTTCTCCTCGTCCGTACTCTCTTTCTCCCTTCGGCCGCCAATCCTGCACGATGCTTTCGAGAAGCTTGAGAACCACTGCGCGCCTGGTGCCGCTTCGTCGGTATCCCGCGCGGGCGTTACCAATGCAGATGCCGCAGATGATGCAGCACGTCCGCAACTATGCAGACAAGATCGTCCAAGTGCCACAGATGGCTGAGTCCATATCCGAGGGAACGCTGAAGCAGTGGTCCAAGCAGATTGGCGATTTTGTCGAGCAAGACGAAGAGATCGCGACCATTGAAACCGACAAGGCAAGTTGTTTGTTCCAGCCTTGACCGGAAGGCCTGACGTCCTTTTGTTGCGACAACTACAGTTTCCCTGGAGACGATGTTGACTCATTCACATGTAGATTGATGTCGCTGTTAATGCCCCGGAAGCAGGCGTCATCAAGGAATTCTTGGTCAACGAGGAGGATACCGTTACTGTCGGTCAAGATATCGTCAAGTTGGAGCTTGGCGGCGAAAAGCCTAGCAGCAGCAGCAAGGACCCTAGCGAAGGGAAGACCACATCAGACAAGCCTGCCGCCGAGCCCGAATCTCAACCCGAGCCTTCCAAGTCAGAGTCGAAGCCTGAGCCTAAGGATGAACCTCAGCCTGAAAGCAAGCCAGCTGCTCCTCCAGCGAAAGAGACCAAGGAGACTTCAAAGCCCGTGCCCAGTCCCTCGAAAGAAACTGCTTCAAGCACTGGTCCAAGCCTTGGTAGTCGTGAGGAGCGCCGCGTACGTTATGCTCCGACTGCCCCCTCCTCGTCCGGAGATGACTGTCGTGAGGTAGTATGACTGATTTGGCGTAGGTGAAAATGAACCGCATGCGCCTTCGCATCGCCGAGCGTCTCAAGCAGTCGCAAAACACTGCGGCATCGCTGACCACATTCAACGAGGTCGATATGTCGTCTCTCATCGAGTTTCGAAAGCTTTACCGTGACGATGTGCTCAAGAAAACTGGCGTGAAGCTGGGCTTCATGAGCGCCTTCTCACGCGCGTGTGTCTTGGCCATGCGCGATATCCCTGCTGTGAACGCGTCCATCGAGGGACCCAACGGAGGCGACACTATCGTATATCGTGACTATGTTGACATAAGTGTCGCTGTGGCCACGGAAAAGGGCCTCGTCACTCCGGTTGTCCGCAACACTGAGTCACTTGACATGCTGGGCATCGAGAAGGCGATCGCTGACATGGGCAAGAAGGTACAGTTTGGTCTGTTTGGATCTTTCAGAAACGGGATGGTGGGCTAACTTGCTGCGAAATAGGCTCGAGACAACAAGCTCACGATCGAAGATATGGCTGGTGGCACCTTTACTATCAGCAATGGTGGGGTGTTTGGCTCTCTCATGGGAACCCCGATCATCAATCTTCCTCAGACCGCCGTGCTGGGTCTCCATGCCGTGAAGGAACGCCCTGTTGCGGTCAATGGGAAAATTGAGGTTCGCCCCATGATGTATCTAGCTTTGACCTACGACCACCGGCTTCTGGATGGAAGGGAAGCTGTTCAATTCCTTGTAAAGGTGAAGGAGTATATTGAAGACCCTCGGCGTATGCTCTTGTAAATAGCATTAGTTTAAAGGAATTCTCAATCTATTTATTATATATATTGATTATTAAGTTCATTCTTTTTGTAGCGAATTATCCCGCTATACGCTCTTGCGCAGCCCCCTCGGTAAGCCCTACTGAGGGAATAGGTTATATAACTAATATAGACCTTATAAGCTTATAATCTAGGGACGCTTAGGGTTAGATATTGTTAAAAAAAACATAATATAAAAATATAATACTAAATATAATATAAGTATTTATGTTATATTTTTATATTATATTAAATATATATTTTTAAATATAATATAAATATATTTACTATAATTTATATTTTATATTATATCTTTATATTTTATTATATTTTTATTATTATTTTATTGTATATCAATAAAAAAGGCGTTTTTGGTATAATTATATATATTTATATATTATAAATATTATTTATGTATTAAACTACTTAGAAATAAAATAGAGATAAATTATATACTTTACAAAACTACTTTTAAAGTTAACTTAAGAATTCTAGTAAAATTACTATATATTTAATATATTTAATATAATAATAAAGATAAATCATAAATATTTATTTATATCTTTAAATATCAATATTTATTAATTTAGTCTATATATAGAGTAATTTAAAATACTATTATTTTTCAAACTAATTTCTTAAAATCTATTATTACTTTTAAAAGTTATATTAAAGTAAAATTTTATTATACAGTTTTATACTTAACTCATTTAAAAGTAAAACATTTTCAAAACTTAAACAAAATACCTTTTTATTCTTATAAAATATACTAAAAAGAAGTAAAGTTCTTTAAATTTCTAGTAATTTTAACTAAGAAGTAAAAGATTAAGTAAGGGTTTTTATAAATATTAAATACTATTATAAAAAGAAATAACTTATATAAATAAATAGAGGATTAATTAGTTTATAATAGAAACTAAATAAATAAGTAATAAATATATTTATTTTTATATCTTTTTTATTTTTTAAATAGATTTGTTAATTAACTTTTAAAAAAATTAAATTTTAAATTTAATTTATAATAAGGTTTCATTAAATTTTATTTCTTAAAGATTAAATGAAAATGAATCTTTTTAAACTTTTTTTGGTTTTTCAGTTTTAATCAGTTTTATTTTCTTAAATTTATTACTTTTTATTTTATTTTTTAAATTATTTAAAACTAAAATAAAGTAGAATATTATAAAAATATAGTAGTTTATCTTATAATATGCTTTTTACTTTATATAGCTTTCTTAGTAAGCCTTATTAAAGGAGTAAGTAATATAATTAATATAAGCCTTATAAGCCTTTAATTTAAGAATATTTAAGAGGGTAACTTCTTTTTAAATAATGTATACTTTTTTTATAAACTCTTTAGTCTCTTCTAACTACTATCTCTTAGTAATAAATAATATTATTAAACTTCTTTTAATAGTTTATTTTCTTTCTAAAAACTATATAGTTTAAAATATTAAAAGAAATAAGAAATATAAATAAAATACAGATTAATTAGGTTTATATTTGTATATTTACTTTTATATCTTTTATAATTAGCTAAATAATTAGTATATAAATATTTAAATATTTTAAGAGGTGTTTCTATTGAAAATAAAATATTTAATATAATTAATAACTTTTTATTTTATTTTATTATAAGATTAATAATTAATATTAAAAAGTAAACTAACTTATTATAGAAGAGTTCTTTTATAAATGTTCTATATTACTTTATTAAACTAAAATAAAAATAAATTTAAGAAAAGAAATAATTTAAATAATATTATATTAAAAGAAATTAAACTAATACTTTTAATTTCTATTTCTTTTAGAATAAAAGGTGATAACTTGAATATTTAAAATTAAAGATTAATTTAAAGTATAACTTTTACGAAAAAACTTTTAAAAAAGAATATTTAGTATAATAAGAAAAATATTAAAGTTTTATATAAATTTAATTAGTCTATCTTCTTAATTTATTATTTATTTATTTAAATATTATTATTTATTATTTATTATAAGTTATTATAATAATAGTTTTAAAATAGTTAAAATAAATTAAGTTTATTTTCTTTATTTTTAAAACTAAAGTTATAAAACTAATTAGATTTATTTTATTTCTCTTATAAACTTAAGTAAAATAAAACTAATTAACTTATATTTAAAAACTTCTTCTTAATTAAACTTATTAAAATGTTTTCATAACATATTAATTAATAAAAAGAAATATTCAAAAGTTTAAAAACTAAGATTTAAATTATATATATATAGAGAGAGAAATATTAAAAATTAGTTTTTTTTAAATTATAAACTATTATAACAATAAAAATATAGGAACCTAAAAAAGAAAATATTATAACTATATTAACTTTTTAAAAAGCAAAACAAAAGAATTTCTTTTAAATTTATTTAAAAGTATTTTTTTTAGAATTTGATTTTATATTATTTTGATACAAAAGAAGATATAGCCTCTAGCTGTTTACTATAAGTTTTACTTACTTAAAATAATAAACCTCTTAACTTTATACCTCTTAATAATATATAAAGCCTTTAATTATATAATTATAACTCTCCTAACTTTAGCTATACTTATATATATATATATATAACCTTATAATCTTTAACTTTACTTTAGTAATAGTATAGTTTATAATTATTTAATTACTATAAACTATTAAACTATTAACTTATTCTCTCTCTTATATATTACTTATACTACTATTAAATACTATCTATATTACTATTTTACTATTTACTATTAAGTTATTACTATCTTTATAGTCTTTTTATTTAATTAAGCTAGGTAACACCTTTATAGCTATACTATTATTAATAATATTCTCTCTATTAGTTAGTATAAAGCATACTTATTATATTTAAGCTTTATATAAAGCCTATATCCTCTTTAGTACTTTTAAATACTTTAGAGAAAACGTCTTATTTATTAAAATAGCTAAAGATATACTTAAACTCTATATTAATATTACTTAAAGCTTTCTTAATAAGAAGGGTCATATTACTACTTATAGGGGTTTTTAAGAGGTTTATTAATAAAGCTATTAGAATAATATATTTTTAGTTTTTTTTTTAGATTATTCTTTAAATAGAGGCTTATTATTAAGTATATTAAGGTTACTCTTATGTTAGATATATTATATATTATTTATAGAGATAAAAGTACTATTTAGCTAATATTTAGTAAACTTAAATACTTTATATAGTGTAAATATTATAAAGATACTTTAGGACTTATTATAAGTTATAAAGTAAAGAAGAAGAAGGAAAAGTATAAAGCTTTATATATAGCAGAGTTTTTATACTTCTAGCTATAGAAAGTTCCTATAATACCCTCTTTAGTTAAGAAGTTATCTCTCTTATAGTAGTATTTATAGCATTTTACTAAAAAGTTAAGTGAAGCTATTATTAGCTATGAAAGCTTTAGTAACTTATTCAGCCCTAATATAATTAGCTTTACTAAATATAGCGCTACTAATTTTATACTATATAACTAGTATTATTACTATTCTATTAATTTATTTAGCTAGAGTATATATCTAACTTTATATAAGGATTTACTTATTGGTAAGAATATATAAAGTTTCTATACTATTTTCCTTAATTAGTAAAAGGTATAAGTTAAAGTACTTATGTAGTAACTATTTCTAGACTTATATTTATATATAGGGTAAGTTTTACTATAGTGTATTTAAAGGGAGGCTATATTATAACTATGAACTTAAAAAAGAAAATATATATATTGTTTTTATTATATTTCTTTTATACTTTCTTATATAATATATTAATAACTATGATATCATATTTCTTTCAAAAGTTTATAGTTAATATTATAATTTAATTATAAACTTTATTAGGTTTTAAAATTAACTTATAAAAGAAAAATACTATAATATAAAGCTATAAAGAATATTATTAATAATAATTAATCTCTTTTTATAAAGAAAAGAAAAACTTAAAATATAAAATAATCTTATTATTAAAATAATAATAATAATAATAAATAATTATAAAGTTTTATTATTTAAGTAGCATAAAGAATCTATTAAGGTAATACTAACTTTTTCTAACTAATTAATTTACTTATATTACTTTAACTCTAACTTTAATATTATATATACTACATATATAATAGTAATCTTATCTCTTTTTATACTTCAATTTTAATATTAACTATATAATAAACTTTAAATACTAAATAATATACTTTATATCTATAGCTTACTTAATACTTAAAATCTATTAATTTCCTTATTATTAACATCTTTTATAGCTCTAATATTATATAGTAAGACATCTAATAATATATTATACGCTTTATAAGAGAGCTTGAGTAAGTACTTACTAAGGAGTAGGTTATATAAGCTATATAAGCTTAATATACTTAAGATATAAAGTATATTAAGAGTATAATATTCTCTTAGAAAAGATATATTTTTATTTAACTTTCTAGTCTCTTCTAACTATTATTTATGTAATAATTATAAACTTAGTTTATTAAATTTTATCTCTATTTTTACTAATATATTTTTAACTATTTATAAGAATAAATAGAACTCTCTCTTTTTTTTCTCTTTTTAAACTATTTTTAACTAACTTATTATTAAAATATTTGCTTTTACTAAAAACTAATTTATAAGTTCTAAACGATTTTTTATAAAAACTAAAATAGTTAAATTATCTTTTTCAAGATTAACTATATACTTCTAAGAATCTAGAAATATATTAACTTAAACCTTTTAAATATTTTAAACCTCTTTAAGGATTAATATAAGAATCTCTTTAAAATCTTAATTCTTTTAGAAAATAATTATATTTAATATATTAATAAATATTTAGAGTAGTATTATTATTAAGTTATAGAGAATTAGAAGTTTAATAAACCTTTTTGTACTTTTTCTATTTTTAAACTTAAATACTTGATAAAACTATTAATTAAAGATTTAATACTTTTTAATCATTATAAGTTATATCTTCATATTTAAAAGCTAT